TATCTGAGTGGCGTGTGTGTAGTCACCAAGTACAGTCGGTAATCAAAGTGGATAAACAATGTTAAAGATTTTAATAAAAAAGTTATTTAAATAAATAACTAGGCAAAAGTAGCGTAGGGCGCCCTCCAGCTAGGTTGACTGACGACATCCGCAAGGTGGCTGGCAGTGGTTGGATGAGAAGAGCTGAACATCGAGCTCAGTGGCGTGAAATTGGGGAGGCTTATGTCCAGCATTGGACGACAACAGGCTGATGATGATGATGATGATGATGAAATGTGGGAGAGCCAAAATTAACCTCACAGAAAACCGGCGTGAACTTACGTTGCGTTTAGCCGTATGAGCCCCATCCTTCTCCACCCCTAATTCCAAAATCTCCAAATCCCTAATCCCCAAAAGGTCGGCAACGCACTCGAAGCTCATCCGTCGTTGCGGGTGTCCATGGGCGGCGCTGATTGCTTACCATCAGGTAATCCGTTTGCTCGTTTGTCAACTTATGACGTTAAAAAGATACTCAACGACCGAAATTAGAATGCACTGCAAATGTAAATCTCTTTGAGTACAACCAATGGCAGTTAGTCACGGTCACAGAGACACGCCTTCGATGCGTGGACAGTTGGTTGATGCTGACTGTACTAGCACGTTGCATCATACCCATACACTGAAGACATGATAGTACAATAAACACATTGAATATTGACTTATCAATATAATAAAATTGATTACAACTCTTATTTCCTAGAAATTGTTTGTTTTGAATGATTTTTCTTTCTTTCTGACATTTTATTTCTTATCTTGCATTTCACTTTGTAATGTAATGTTTTGTCCTAGAAATCCAAACTAATATTATAAATGCGAATTTAACTTTTTCTGTATGTCCGTCTGTCTTTTCTTCACGCCTAAACTACTGGACCTATTTGTGTGGAATTCGGTACAGACATAGTTTGGAACTCGGGAAAGGACATAGGATAGTTTTTAAACCAAAAATCTGTGAAGCCATCAACAATGTCCCGAACAGACGCTAGTAGAATATATTTTAGTACTAGCTTTTGCCTGCGACTTCGTTCGCGTGGACTTCAGGTTCGTCCCGTCTAGGCTAGTAATAAGTAAGAAATGCGATAACTAAGCAATGCAGAGCCCTAATCATAGGTCTATAGGTAGCTACTGCAGTATGCTCCTATAAACTACATTTAACGATCTTTTTCCTTCAGCATAAACATGGAGATTCTTCGCTTTGGAAACGTAAAAAAAAAACATTAGAAACCTCAAAAATTGTAGTCTATGTGTTATTCTGATGTATAAGCTATATTGTGGTAAAGTTTCATTCAGTAGTTTTTACGTGAAAGAGTAACAAACATCCATACATCCATACTTACAAACTTTCGCCTTTATAATAGTAGTAGGATTTTACTTTAAGGATTTTTAACATGCATCAGGAAGATGATGATGATCATGAAGGTGCTGTTCTATTCTTCTTTTTTTGTGAGGGATAATCTTTGAATGACTCCCTTTGCCTTAGATGGAGTATTAGACTGTTACTGTTTAAAAATAACCCCATACCAAATTCCAATTCTTGCTCCAAGCCCGACCGCGGTGTATCGGGAGGTTACTGGGCAGAGGCCCAATCGTTCTTTCGTTGCCCAATCCCAAAATCTTCAAATCCAAAAGGCCGGCAACGTACTCGTAACTCCTCAGGCGTTGCGGGTGCCCATGGGCGGCGCATTAGAAAATCCGTCTGCTCGTTTTCTGTCCAAACATGTAACATTAACAAAGAAATAATATAGAGTATTATTTATTCCTACACGTGTACATACTCGTACATAATAATATGTAAATTATTTCTACATTCATCTTTATAGTGAATAAATTCTTTATATCAATGAAATCTCGCAAAAACACGTGTTTGTTTCACAAGATTAAGATTATATTATATTCATGACTAAAAGAATCATTTTCTTTATGGGAAAATAAGACTTTTGAGTTTACTAGCTTTTGGAAGCGACTCCGTTCGCGTGTTATAGTGATTTCCTGCAGATTTTTGGTTACAAAACTATCGCATGTCTTTTCTCGAGTTCCAAACTGAGTCTGTACCAAATTTCACACAAATAGGTTCACACAAAGAAAAGACAGACAGAGTTACTTTCGCATTTATAATATTAGTTTGGATTTGGATTATTTATTACTACACGTGTACATACACATGTAAATAATTTTTAAATTCGACTTTATATCAATGATATCTCGCAAATATTCTAACACGTGTTTGTTTCACAAGATTAAGATTACTATATTCATGACTAAAATGGTTAAAGGAAAATAAGTCTTTTAAGTTTGGCAGAGTCATGCTTCGGCACGTATATATGCCAGCTTGACTGAAGTGATGATACCCTCCCAGAAAACCGGCGTGAAACAACCCGTGCATTGTCTGCACTGTGGAGGAGGCCAATGCTCCCCCCTCCGCATCCCAATCATTCAAATTCCGTCCACGCATTTGTAACTCCTTGACGTTAACCATGGACCGAACTGATGGCTTACCATCAGATCATAAGTATGCTAATTAGCCGCCCTATCATTTAAAACGAAGCCTATAGCACTCTACAGGAGCAATTCATATACCGCGGCCTTCGCCTGCACGAGAAGGAACGTGGTGGATTTTAGTCAGTAAGAGTCGGACAATCCCTTTCACCCCAATGATAGGACGGGAGAAGTAATTTGACGGTCCTGTATCACTCTTCAGTCTTTTATCCAGACAAAGTCATACCAATGAATCAGTTCCGCAATCAACCATTCCTCCGTCAAGACCAAGTACACCTTGAGGGTCGAGCGGTTGGAGCCGCGTCACAATACGAACTTTAAATCGTTTGTGGTTCGAGTTCCGACACACCATCTTGAGAAGTTCCTTAAGGAAGAGCTTTGGTCGAAGAGTGTCGTGTGTCGCCGGTTTCGTGGCCGCCTATATGACACTAAATGTCGGCGTCAGTTCAATAATAACTAAGTATTACTTAAAGTTAAATATTATGTAATATATTTATATTAGTAGTAGTCGTATTTAAAGTAGTTTGTATATGTTTATATGGACCTTCGACGCCTGCAATAAATGGAAATAAAATAATAATAATTTTAAAATCTTATTCTATTGAGCTAAACTTTTTCTATCTACTTCACTTGTTTTTTTTTTCAGCACTATGTCGTAGCTTTATGTCATTATATTAAGCGATTTCTTTTTTTCTTTTGAGTGTTCTGTTTATCTCACTATGTTGTACACTATGCTTGTATTGTATTACTAGTATTATTAAAATAAACAGTGTAACAATTGTAGATAGGCCAACAATTAAATAAATATTTATCAGTTTGAATTTTATTACAGTTGCGGTAACATATAGTCATAAAAATTCTTCACAAGCACAACCATGACATAATATCTGATTTTTCCTTCAATTTCTCAGAGTCTCGAGCGAGATATCTGAGAATGAAATAAAAATTAATATCTTTCATTAATACGTTTTTAGATAACTATAATCGTGCAGCTGTAGATTATATGAATGCCTAATCCAAATTATTATCGCTGCGCTACATTAATCGGCGATTTCAATTCACGCTACTGTTTGTCAGTTAATGGTAAAATTCCATTACAATCTGTGCAACTGTTTTCGATAAATTTCGACGAACACCTGCATTCACTTTGGTATTTTGTGTCATGCACAAAATAATCTATTGCTTATGTAACTTGGTATTTTCCGATGCAGTATCTAAGTGTTGCTTTTTTACCTAGTCAGAATAGTGACTTTCTGCCGATTTTTGATATAAAAACTATCCTATGTCCTTTCTCGAGTTCCAAACTACGTCTGTACAAAATTTCACAGAAATCGGTTCAGTGGTTTAGGCGTGAAGAAAAGACAGACAGACAGACAGAGTTACTTTCGCGTTTATATTATTAGTTTGGATTATAGGACTTATAACTCCTAAATTATAAGTTTGAAATTGTTAATCTGTCGAGGTGATTATTGCTGAAAACCTTCTCCGTGTGAGAAGAGGCCTTTGCTCAGCAGTGGGCACTTATAGGCTGATGATGATGATGTAAGGTAGGTGTACTTAACTAATCTAACTACTGACCAACCGACCATGGCAACCGACTATGGCACAAAATCGTTACTAGCAACAATCGTTTGAGCATTAATCACCACGCTTGTTCAATTCATTCATTCATTCAATTCATTGCTTGATTTCAAACTTATAATTAACTAGCTACTCTCGCGCGATTTCACCCGCTGCTCCATTTGACCGTAGCGTGATGTTTCGTAGCCTGTACAACTCAGGAGTGAAAGAATTTTGGCAACTCGACCAGCGGTTCCAAAGATTACCCCCTACATACAAACTTACAATTTTTACCTCTTTAGTATAGATTAGTCCAGCCAAGTTTTTCCCGATTAGCCGTGGTCGCGGGTTAAGTGCAATAAGGTAAAGTGGCTTCAGCATAGAGCAGAAGAAGACACGGTGGTTTTCCTCACAAAAAGGGTTCCTCCCGATGTTTTCATTCACCGTTAATATTATTAACATATGTAGGGACTCGGACTGGTAACTCGGAAAAAGTCACGTTGGTACTTGTCACTCCGTGCGGGTCGAAAATGTTATATACTTAAGGTATCTTGCGGGCCACTACGACGTGTTTATACTACCAACCTACTTATATCATTAGTAAATGGTCAATTTGAACAATGACTCTTAATTCTATTCCCTCAATGTGTCAACAAACGACAGTAAAATGGTGTTTATCAATAACAAATTAGTATATGAGGTTAATCTACTGATAACTTAGTTACGGCTTATCATAATAGAATAAATCATTATTCAGTTTGTACCCGAATGCCGGAGGAACAACAGTGCTCCTTTAATTTATTTAAAATTAAAAGAAAATGTTTTAATAAAGTGAAAAATGTCATTATAAATAGCTTAACAGTTTTTGAGATTTGGTAGTGAGCTAGTGTTTTGTTTTTGACAATAATCATTATTTTTTCTGGAATTTTGTGTGTCGTGTTTTGATTTGTCGAAATGTGGCGACTAGATGTTCTTCTTTATGTGGAAAAGTACGTTTTAATATTAAATTTATTTATTATATACAATATATAATTAGTCTTACTTCCGTAGATAGTTACCGGATATGACGTTATGATAAATTGGTTTGATATAGATATAAAATGCGCATGTCAAACTATTTGTTTGTTTATAGAAATGCTACGATACGAGGAATGTTTTTTTTTATTTTAATTGTGTCAGTGTAAAAATAACTTCGTAAATTTTTCACCAGTTTCATAATGTTAATGTTAGTTCAATTGTTTTCTAATTGATTATAGGTAAAAGTCAAAACAGATCCAAAATTTATTTGTGGGCAAAGGGCTAAGAAAGACAGAGAGAAGCAATATAAAATTTCCATATTTAAAAATCTCTTTAAAAAGGCAGTAAACAATGAAACAATGAAACAATGAATTTATTTTTGCAAATAGGCCATAAAACGGCACTTTTACACGTCAATTTAGTAAAATGTAACAGTCTACACATTATAAAACACAGTAATTTTTTCGGTCGCCCTATGTATGCTTAAATTTTTTAAACGAAGCGACGGTATTTGATGTGTTTTTTTAATAGATAGACTGATTGAAAAGGAGGGTTTTTATGTATAATAACATCTATTACCAAATTTAGTATCAGCATTGCACCCGAGCCAAGTCGGGGCGGGTCCACTAGTTTAATATGTAGTACTAGCTAATCTCGTGCTGTTTCACCCGGTAGCGTGATGTTTATAGCCTATAATAGCTTTCCTCGATAAATGGATAACAAACATAAAAAGAATCGGTCAAATCGAACCAGCAGTTCCGGAGATTAACGCGTTCTAACAAATAAAGAAACTCTCAAATGGTTCATCATCATTAATATAAAATAGATGATGATGAACCATTTGATATATTAGGAATGTCTACTGTTAATGAGCTTGAGACCTCCTTGTTTCTTGACTCCCTCGAAATAATTAGTTTTTTTTTTTATCTTTAAACTACTTCTACCGCCCTGGGAACTGGACTAAAAAGAACACCCTGTTCCTATTCCTGTTCCTGCTCCAGGCCGAGGCCATGATACTCTCTGGCCTTCCTGGTGCAATCTATAATGATGAAGTTCAAGGGAAATGCGCCCTCTGCGAAGATATCGTTGTTTATGTTGCAGTGTGCCCTTTGCTAATTGTTGTATTTTCTAATTAATGCCATTTTGTTTAAGCTTTGATTTAGCATTGATGTGTGATCTTTCATGCGGAAACTGTTTTGGATTATTTATTATCCAATAATATAGTACTTATGTATGTTATTTTACGTAGGTACCTACATTGTTCAATCAAAAAGTTAATACAGAAGCAAGAAAATATTTATTCCGACTAAACCATTTAAGTATATTATTATTATGCAGTTTGTCTATTTGTGTTCGAAGCTAGGTGCTCGTTCACAGTCATATATCCGATTGGGGAGGAATGAGTAAGAAAAACCGTTACTACTCTTTTAAAATATGTATGTTTAACCAATAATTTAACACAAATTAGGTACTGTACGTACCCATATTTGAGAAAAATATGTAGTTAAAAAAAGAGAGAAGTAATGAAGGGATAGGATATAGGGTAATATGAAAATCTATACTAATATAATAAAGAGGTAAAATTTGTAAGTTTGTAAGTATGTATATAGGGGTAATCTTTGGAACCGCTGGTCTGATTGCCAAAATTCTTTCACTGATAGATAGCTACAATGTTCCTGAGTTCTATAGGCTATAAAACATCACGCTACGATCATTCGCAGCTGAGCAGCGGGTGAAACCGCGCGAGAGTAGCTAGTATGATATAAAATTAAAATAGTTCCTAATTGATATTTTGATTTTTTCTAGTCGGCTATGCTTAACGTTGGCGAATTTAGCTTATTTTGTAGTCTATAGCCGATCATGGAGTTAAAAAGGTTAATGCTGCACTTACAAATAATATTGCACTTTATGCAAACGTAATAAAACTTTTAATATTTTGTTATCAACTTTTGGCACATTGGCACACCTGTGCCGAGGTTGTGTTATTGTCAATTATTAATAATAATAATAACATGTAGTAATAAATTGATAAATGCAGTCAACCTGGAAATATTATATGTATTATCGTAAGCTTATCTTTTTTTGCGTTTAGGTAATACATGTTGAGTGATGTGTAACTGTCTAAGTAGAATATCTAGACAGCATTCATACACGGTTAAGGAAAACTTCGTCAGAAACCTAAATTTAAGTTTGAATGAGGCGTTTGCTTAGTAGTGGGTACTTTAGGCTGATGATAATTATGACAAAATGTCTCCAGTACTTGATGAAAATTATTATAAAAAAATAAAAACATCATTGTATTTATTAAAAAAACTGCATCAACATCAGTAGTTTTAAAGTTTTAACCGTACATTACACGGGTTATACGGACAAGAAAGCAACTTTCATTTATACTACGTATCTATTGATAATTAAAACATCTTCTGAAATGTATATTGTATATCTTTTATTTTCATAAATTTATTTCTTTATCAAAAATATAATTATTTTCTACCTTTCCAAGATTAAATCAACGGTACATTATGAAACAATAAAAAAAATATTTCCTTGTATGTTTACTATTCACTCAGCAGCGCCATCTATGTTGCATATCAATATTTACGTAGAAATTAAGTAGGTACTATCCATACTATACATACACTATACAGGGTGGCATTTTGAACGATTGACATATATATTCAAGGACCCGATTCTGGTGGCCTATTAAAACAACTTTTCCATAAGACCAATGTGGAAATCTCAAAGAAAAAGTTTTATTTCTCCATGCAATCAATCAGCTGTAGCAAAAATCTGTTTTAATTAAATTCTTAGCCGTGTTTATTTACCTCTGACCCTCCCAGAAAACCCCCATATATCGAATTCCAGTAAAATCATTAGATCCGTTTCAGAGATCACATGACTTTTCAAGTAATCAGCGCCATCTGCCGGGCTGATTTGTGAATCTAAACCATCCAGGGCGCCACTATAACGCATACAGAAAAAACATTTAAATCGGTCAAGCCGTTTAGGAGGAGGATAATTCTATTGTACGTGTGTATGTCATTGAGACATACACACGTACAATAGAATTATATAATTATATAAAGATAATTTCTTTTATTCTAAAAGTATGTTTTTTTGTTTCAGCGTGTCGTCGGTACCAGTGAAGATGCGCGGGCGCACGCCGCGCTGGCTGTGGGTGGGGGCGGGGAGCGGGGCACTGCTTGCCCTTGCAGCACTCTCCACTGCACTCGCCTGGACCAGTATATTCGATTCAGCACTTGCAAATGTAAGTTCCAGTATCTTATTTTACGGGTTACCTGATGTTAAGCAATCAGTGCCGCCCATTGACACCTGGAACAACACAGAACTTTCGAGCTTTTGGAGATTAGGGATTTGGAGATTTAGAGATTGGGGATTAAGTGAGAGGAAGGATTGAACTTCCAGTAACCTCACCCACACGGCGATTTTTTTCATTAGATTAGACATTAAAGTAAAATAGTAATTTATTCAAGATCTGGCGCCTCATTACAACAACGTATGTAGTTAAGTTTACTGATTTATTTTATTCTTAGTAATGGAACCAAGTCGCTCCACCGTGGACGAGAGAGAAAGAGAGAAGAGTCTTACTGATAAGACCCTGAAAAACCCTGAAACCCCTCCAAAAGGGGTCGCAGTACGTAATACACGCACTCCCGCAACTCTGCTTCTATAGTAGTTTTGGGCTGAATACAATAGGTATATGCTCCTCAATTAAGTAGAAATACAGGTACCTACATGAATACAACTAAATAAATACTTAAGTGCGCAAATCGCGTCCCACATACGTCCAGCTACCAAAAAAACATCAGGTAAATTAACAAATTCTAACAATGAAATCTTGACCGTAAGTGCGGTGAAAACCACGTGCCCACATAACACTCGGTGACTTTGTATTGCATCACATTACTTGTACGGCTTTACTACATAATAATACACGTGATATAATATTTAAAAACATTGTTAGAGATAAGACTGTTATATATATTTACTAAATGTCCACTCAATACATTTAAGAACCCTATCTATACTTATATACTTAATACATATTATAAAGAGGTCAAAATTTGTATTTTAGTAAGTTTGTATGTAGGGGGTAATCTTTGGAACCGCTGGTCGGATTGCCAAAATTCTTTCACTGATAGATAGCTACAATGTTTCCGTAGGCTATAAAACATCACACTACAATCAAATGTATCTACGAGTAGCTAGTACTTAATATTACAAAAATCAAGAGGTAGTTGTTTGTTTGGACGCGTTAATCTTCGTAACTACTAGTTCGAATTGGAAAATTCTTCTTGTGTTTGACAGTCCATTTATCGAAGAAGGTTTATAGGCTATAAAATATCACGCTCCGATTTGTAGGAACTGAGCAGCAAGTGAAACCGTGAGATTATCTAGTAGTGGAGAAGATCCGAGAGAAACCGTCGTGAAACATTGCGTTGCGTTACGCCGATGCCTCAACCCCAAACCCATAAAACTAAAATCTTAAACTACCACCAACAAGCCGGTAAGAAACTGAAAAGACGAAAAAGTAGCTTCTCTGGTATTAACAATCTTAAAAGGTCGGCAACGCACTCGTAGCTCTTCTATTGTTGCGGGTGTCCATGGGCGGCGCAAATTGCTTACCATCAGGTAATTTTGTGGATTAAACATCCGTTTTTTAATTTCAATCCAATCTTTTGAAAGTAAAATACACTATTCTTGTTGATTTTCTTTACAAGTATCATTATAAAACCGAGAGAAAAAAATATTAGCATAGTTATAAGTTAGGTCACATTGGGGTAAAGTATCTAGGTTGGGTCTAGGGTACCTAGGTCTCTGTCTGGACCAGACGAAGGAACGTGGTGGCTTTTAATCAGTAAGAGTCGGACCCTCGCCCCGCCTAGAACAGAATGAGAGATTCATTTGATGATGTGCCCCCCTCAAAAACGGCGTCATTTCATCAGCAGTAGTGTGATTTTGTAAGACTTCATTCTAAACTTCGAATCTGAATCCGCCGTGAGTAGTAGTATACTAGCGCTACACTTGCGAGTTGAACTAAATTATGATAAAGTATGAGATGACGTAAGTGACATTCTAAAATTTTATTTCCCCGTCACTTCGACGCTCACTTCGGACTCGAACAAGGTTCAAAATCAAACGAATTTTATAGAATCGACGTGCAGTTATTCATAGTGGTATTCCTTTGTAGATTTATGGTCACGTGCGACATATATTCGTCATAAATATGTCCATATATATGTATGTACTTAAAATGAACGAACCAAATATCAGTTAATGGGATTAAATTAAACGTATTTCTTTAGTGAAACCTTACCGCATTAGTCCGTGCTACTTACTTACTACTTACTATAGGCAAGTCTGTATGTATGTAGATGTCAACTGACCCCTGTCAAAGTCGCTAATGAATGCTTCAAGTGTTATTATATTTAAATTTAATTAATTTTTAAGCCTTAGCTAGTCTTACTATGATACGTTGACCCATTAAAATTGTTAATTTTTTCTTCTGCTTGGAGTCTATTTATTGAAAAACACTTACAAACTTACATATTTTACCTCTAGTTTTTTTTTAAAACGTTGCCCCATACCAGGATTTCCTCTTGTGTCGTGGGTGCGTTTACAAACATACAATTTCACATGCACATCACACCCAGACCCGGGACAACAATCTGTGGATCACACAAAGAGTTGTTCCATGAGGGAATCGAACCCGCGCGGCACGTTATGCGGCGGCCACCGCGCCAACCGTGCAGTTATTAATCTAAATGTTGTTATGTTATAATCTTCTCCACTAAAACCTTCTTAAAGTCTAAAGAGTCTGCTAGCCTTTCCATTGTTAAATTTTAAGTATGGAAGATCCACACTTTGGCATGGAATGGGCCGGCTCGACCGGTGTAATAACTACGGCGTCACAGGAAAACCGGCGGGTGAGGGACCTCAATCTTCAAATCCACATAACAGCCTACAAGAAGCCGGCATCGCACTTGTAGTAACTCCTTCGGTAATAAGAGTGTCCATGGGTCGCACTGATTGCTTACCATCAGGTCCGTACCGTACGTATCCGTATGCTCGTTTGCCAACTTACAACATAAAAAGAAAAGGATGAATTTCAGTGAATGCAAAAATCACTAAAGAGCATAACAATGTCGCTTTCTCTGTCCCTATATTCCCATCTATGCTTAAATCTTTAAAACTACGCAATGTGTGGTATAAGTCGAGAGTCTGACACTCCCTCTAGCCGTCTCAAGTCATTTGATGATAATCCCCTGTAAAAAACAACACGTGATGGTGGCCCGGAGGTTAAGGAGCCCGCTTCTCATGCATGAGGGCGTGGGTTCAAAACCTGGCAAGTACCAATGTGACTTTTGCCGAGTTAGGTAAATGTACTTTCTATGATTATTTAGACACTTCTGACATTACGGTGAAGGTAAACATCGTGAGGAAACCTGGACTTATAATTTCTAATTATAAGTTTGAAATCGCTTACCCGCATTGAGCAAGCATGGTGATAAATGCTCAAAAACCTTCTCCTTATGAGAAGAGGCCTTTGCTTAGCAGTGGGCACTTACGAGCTGATGATGCGATGTGTGTGAAAAAACAACAAACTTCAAATAAAAACGAATTTAAATGACTGAGAGCTGTTTTTTCAATGGTTAGATAAAAGTTACCTGGGAAATAATTATGATGCTGTCGCGTCACAATGTTTGTGTAAGACAGTGACAGCAACAATTTTATTCCTCAGATAACATTTATCTGAATATTAAAAAATCTGCTCTTATTTGATCTTTACTAATATTATAAAAAGGTAAAATTTGTAAGTTTGTAAGTTTGTATGTAGGGGGTAATCTTTGGAACCGCTGGTCGGATTGCGAAAATTATTTCACTGATAGGTAGCTACAATGCTCCTGAGTGCTATAGGCTATAAAACATCACGCAACGATCAAATGGAGCAGAGCAGCGGGTGAAACCACGCGAGAGTAGCTAGTAAAAAATAAATTTAAAGGCTTTTTGGAGAATCACACAATTACATCAGCTGTTTCTTATACCAAATTCTCATATTATAATTTCAATTCTACATTATTTTCATGTAAAATCTTCACAACCCTTATATAACGTGTCTGTGGGAGTTCTACCTACCTACCTACACCTTCGTGGAATAAAGGTCGTGGCGTTACGTAACTGGAACTTGAAACGTGAAGTTGGCGAGTATTGTGTAACTGTGTTATTAGTTCGTAGGAGGACTATCAGGAGCAGATGTCCGAAGTAGTTGTCCAAATCTGTTCATACGTAGGTACTTCTGTATTTTGTTACAGTTACACTGGGCCATTAGTTGCATGGTTATTACTACGGTAAAGATCGTAGTTAGAATTTAGCTTTACTGACTTAATACTTATGTATTACTTTTCCAAAGTTAGATTCAAGTTTCTTGAAATCACTGACATAGAAAATCATCAAATGACTTCTGAGAGGGAGTCTCAGACTCTTACTGACTCAAAGCCCCTGTTCCTTTTCCTTTCCTCATTTAGGCCGAGGCCGCGGTAGCTTATTACGCTTGTCCCTCAACTCTGCCTGAAATTCTGGCCTGTTGGGCCCCATCCGTGGTGGTCTATTATCTCTTTGAGACGAGCGCGGAACGCAACGAGACGTACGCATGGATCTGGTTCCAGTAGGGCGGCGAGCTATCCTTGAGCTATGCTTATGGTGGCCGCCGATCGTCACTTGACTACCAGCGCCCGGAGTGTCGCATACTGATCACTGACATACGCTGAAGGAAAATATTGTGAGCAACGTGAATAATGCTCAATTCCTCTCAGTGTGGGAAGAGACCTTTGCTCAGTAGTGGGCACTTATAGGCTAATAATATTGATGAATGTGGATTCTTTATAATGCATAGTAAAAAATAGACGACCAAGAAAGTGTGGCAATCATGATATTACTAGCTTTTGCCCGCGACTTTGTTCCCGTGGAACTTTGACTTTGACTTCCTGCAGGTTTAAAAATTTCCAAACTATGTATGACTGTAACAAATTTCACAGAAATCAGTTTAGTAGTTTAGGCGTGAAGAAAATTCAGACAGACAGATAGACTGAGAGTTACTTTAGCATTATATAATATTAATTTGGATTTTTGCCGAAAAATGCAAAGACACACTCGTATTAAGTAAAAAATTTTTTCTTACTCTGCTAACCTCTTATATAATAACGTAAACATAAAACTAATACTTAATTACCAATTAAATAAATAAAC